AGCGGTGGCACTGCGCCGGGAAACCACGCCTATGTGGGGGCTCAACCCTCACTCTCGACAGGCCGTACACTGTGCGTACCTGCCAGAAGATGGATTTTGCCTCCGGCAGGTTCGTCAGAATTACAAGGGCAAGCGGGAACTTCTTGCCCTTGTTGCTGTGCATCTTGTGCACAGCCTCGACTGGGAATACCTGGGACTTAAGGTCCTTAAGGATGCCTTCATTGGCGAGTTCAAATAGAACACCGCGGATTACGGCCCTGACTTTACGCTCTTCCGGAAGAGTGTACGTGCGGTAGGACACACGCTCGGCTGTGAAAAGCCTGGTAAGGCGGCGAAAGTCGTCAACCGACTGAGGGACTATTTTAATGGCTTCACCCATGTCGGTGGCCTGGTCGTGTTTTATACCTGTGTCGTAACAGATTTTGGGAAGGCGGGTGAAACTGGCCTTGTATCTTAAGAAGACAGGGGGCGGAACCTGCTTTTTAGCTAGGGTAGGAGCGCAGCGAGAGGCGGACTTGGACGGCGGGGGGATGTCTAGTGACATTAGTTGGACCGAAGCAGCGGCGGGGGCTGCGGGTTAGAAACGGCAGCGGAAGCTGCGGGGGCAGAGGCAGCTACGGGGGCTGCGGGGTTTGAGGGAGCGGCAGGGGCTGCTGAAACGGGAGGGGTGCGATTTTTCGCGGCGCGTTTACCGCCGCGCTTTGAGGTTACTCTGGTGAACACAGATTCTCCGGTTCCGTCGAAGTCAGACTCCTCCGATGAACCGGTGCCGGACTTGGCTTCGGTGGCGGGCCTCTTCCGGGAGGTCGACACCGTGGACCCGGAGTCGGAGTAAGATTACTCCATGTCTAGGGACGCGAATGAGTTCGACTGCGGGACAGCCGGAGTGGCCGTCAGAAAGACCGCGACGTAGGGCGGTGGGAGGCATGCCTGAGGGGCAACGGAGGCTTTGACTGCGGCGATAACTGTCTCGTCCAGTTTAATACCCAGACCACGGGAATGCTTTAAGGCGGCGACGATAGACCTAATGAGGTCTCTGGTGGATATGTTAAGGGAGGGGGAAGACGTTTTATTCTAGTAGTAAGGACGGGGATTTCTGTTCTCAAAAGAACAGGGTCTTGTTCTGAAAAGAACAAGCGACGTTTTCCGAGAAACAAAATGCACGGTATGCAAGTAATAACCAAAAATACCGGACAAATGCGAGTAGGACTCGCGCACCGAGGGTTCCGAACAAATTCGTAGGTATATAAGTTTAAAATTATTAAAAATATTTTTATTATATGATGTAACTAAAAAATTATGCTTTCGCAATTTTTCTTGTATCTGTACGTTGCTTTTTACCGAATTTTAAGATTCTGAGTTCACGGGAAGTACCCTGTAGGTTTTGATTCCCTTGCGAATGTCGAAAATTTGCGGCATAAACGGCTATATCTTTTGATTGCATAGGTTTAGAAGTTTGATTTTTTTACAGCTCCAAGGGACAGTAGACTTGAGTTTTTGTTATGAATTTTAACTTGATACCTCCACGCGTTCCTGACAAAAAGGGTCTTGACAGACAGACAGACGGACAACAATGTGATCCTATGAGGGTTTCGTTTTTTCCTTTAGAGGTACGGAACCCTAAAAAAAGAAAAAATCAACAAAACAATTAACAAGAAATGATAACAATGATAACAATAAATAACAAAAAGCAGACAGTGGTCAGTCAAATCTCCCCGCCAGCAGGCAGGGGGGCAAGAACTGAGAGTTAGCGGTGAAACACTCGCCAAAGCGTCAGCGCTGCACAGCGTGAGCGGGATAGCGGAGGCGCGAGAGCGAGAGGGAACTAACGTACGGGGACGATAGCGCGGTCAACTTGGGCGCGTCCGCTTGAGAGCGGCGGCGCAAGCGGAATGATGATATACAAAATCATCGCTGGCATCACTGGCTGGCGGCTACTCCATCTCCCCCGGCTCGGAACGGGGCAAGGCTCACGTGGTGGGGTCGTAGCGGTGACGCAGCGGCTAGGTGTGACGGGCTTGATGGTTTAAAGGGTGGCTAGTGAGATCTAACATTACACTTTATGGAATAATTGCTCCCGCAATGGAAACAACAAAACTATGATTACAAGTCAGCTCAAGAAACAAGTTAAATTATGGGGAAATGAACTTGAGACGGCGTCGTTTATAATCGAAGTGAACGGCGGAGCTGTTCTCCGGGATCACATTGATGCGCCATTTTTGGAACCAAGCTCCTAGGTCTCAACTGACTTTTGGATCTTGTTCCGTATGAAAGCTAGCCAGATACCTTTACAGTAGAGGGCAAAGTCATATGCGAAGAGGGAGAGCTGAACACCTGATCATGACCATGAACTTTGATCAGCTCTTAAGAAGATCTACGAGATCTTTGGTTTCTAATTGTTCACCCACGCTACTGGCGCTATCGGACATATGAGTAGAAGTAACGCTATGACATGGTCGTTCTCCTGTATCGCAGGGACAGTTTACATACGTAGAACCATGTCAGAATAATTATTTGTAGGCCATATAAATACTTGTTACGTCCGGGTTTCGAATCCGCGGCCCTTAGCGCTGCAACTCATTACTAAGCCACTGCGCCACGGAGCCGTCACTTGTCTGTTTCACATTTTTTTTTGCTATTTACAAACATGCGACACGCGACTTCATTATTAACGAAAGGTAGGCAATGAGAAGTGCTATTATTTTCAATCTCTTTCTTTTATCGAACAAGTGTTAAACAAATAACAAGTATATGCTGATCTTGCATTAGTAAGCATTCACTAGTACTGGGAGATCTACTTTCACTGAACATATTTAAGGTCATTGGCATTATACGCAAATAAATCGAAAACTGGGAAGCTGTGGTCGGGACGCTAATCAAATAACAAATCTGTAACTATGGCGTCAGTAACTATATACCTAATTACCTAGATCTACCTATAAATAATAATATCTTACCTTTCGGTATTCTTAGGAACAACAAAGAATGAAAAGTCAATATTCCTATTGTTATTTAAGTACCCGCATGCTATGGCCATACTTGAATAAAAACTCAAAAATAAATATCAAAAGTGCCTAAATACTTACGGGAAAAAAATATTTTTTTGTTAACGTAAGACGTGCGTCAGCTCGAGCGCGCGCGTTGCAACCTCGGAATTTGCCATTTGTATGGGGCCGCGCAGCGTAGGTTTATTTTCATGCCTGAAGCGCGAAGTGAGACGGGCCTGGTATAACAACAGTGTTAAAAAATCAAAAGGAATTGATATAAATACTTTTATTGCTACAGAGTGCTCCTTTACAATTATTTATATAAAGTGAATACACAAAATCATCGCTCCGGCTTTTACATCACCTGGCAGCTACTTCACCTCCTCCGGCTCGGAATTTGACGGGGCAAGGCTCACGTGGTGGGGGAAGTGGCGAAGTGGCTAGGCATGGCGGGCTTGACAGCCGGTGTAAAGGCTTCTAGCGTTACAATTTATTTATTTAAAACATGCCAATCTATCCTCTATGAAGCTTAAGTTTGTTAATAATTATAAAAGTTTTTGAACCAACTGAAAGCAAATCAAAATACAACAATTTATGTTTTCATCTTCTTATCAGCCTTTAGAATCTACTATAGGAAAGAGTCCTTTTCATGATTGCGTCGAATAATGAAATCCTTTGAAGATTTATTTTATATAAAATGATTCTCTTAGGCAAATTTAACGCCGCTTATTCACTTATTAGTTAATCTATTAAAAATAATATTAACATACTTGTTTCTGCTTTTGACAAATAATTTAACCTCGTAATGGCGTTGGAAGAATATATATTACCCCATATCGTCCCATGGATGTCGTAAGAGAGAAATTATAACAATATATGGGAAGCAGCATCTTCCTGATAAATAGCCAATATTATTAAAAACTAAGGTTGCCAACCCGTCTGATAAGCGAAGAAATAATGACAAAATTCTCTTTATGAGGAAGCCACCTTATTATATTTATATTTTAGATGTTAGAGCTACGTTGCAGCTATGTAATGGTTATAGCACGAATGAGGATGAAAATGGGTTGCTCAACAGGGGTAAGATCTCGCTCTCATAGAATACTAGCGTAAAATAGACCGGAGACCCTTTTTACTGTGTAGACAACGCATCTGCATTTTGATTCTTAATCAAAGATAAATGTACTCGTAGATGCCTATCGGCCACAGCATACACCTACCATAATGCGGACTATGTGCTCGTTTGTCACACTTATTCTATAAAAAATGAGGCAATCTATGAGGCTTATGTTCACCAGAGGAATTTTTAAGTTGTAATTAGGGTTGCCAACTCTGGAAAGGACCAAAACATAAAATACGCCCCCATGGGCGGGGCGGATTGAAAGAAAAAAAGAAAATCTCAATCATCTACTTATTAATTTTTAAATTTATATTTATTTTGCTTTCGAGCAGTATCTAATATTTGTGAAATTAGGGAAGTAGCGTCTGGCGAGACGAACAGATACACCGGCAACGGCGCGCGGTATTGTGTGGACGGATGCGTATAATTTTTGGAAAAACCGGTGAAATTATTGCACCCTGGGAGGTCGGGAGATTGACCATTATTACCAGAGTCTCCCGGGCAATCCGGAGGGTTGGGCACCCTAGCTGTAGTGAATGGACTTTAAATTAATTCCTTTGTTAAATAATCTCCATTGATTTGTTGGCTAGAAAATCTTTTGAAATAAATGAAAATATTTTATTCCGCAGTAAATAATTGAAACTAATATTAAAAAAAAAAGTGTTTTTGACAAACCGTTTTATAATAGCCAATATAAAATTATACATTTGAGCGAAGTAAAGCCTCATTACGAATGATGTACCTTATTATTTAGCACCTACATACATAACTTTTCTTGTTAGTTACTTCACTTTGAAAATTGTGTTGATTATAACTTGTGGATAGAAATTCTTTTAACTTAACTCACGTCAACTGAGTATTTGCTAGAGTTCGGTGCGACACACGAAGCTAATATGAAAAATTACGATATTTTACGATTATTCTGCCAAAAAATTTATTTTGTTGGTTCCGGAAATTTTTGGTATGAAAAGGGAATCGGCGACGACAATAGTTTACTTTATATAATTTACAGCACTATTTTATTCTTTATGTATGGATCTATGACACTGCTTGAAATTTTGGCCGCTTTGTTTGGAGAATTTCCAGAAGATGAAAAACACGACTCAATAGCATTTGCAGTAAGCCACACTGTTGTAATGATAAAGATACTTTCTGTTATTTTAAATAAACGACTGATTAGAAAATTGAATTTTGATATGGTACGTGTTTGTAAGAACTATGAGGAGAAGTCATTACAGGACGAAAAATATCGCATTATTAAAATTAACGTTATTGCATACTTTGCTACAGTCTACGGTTCAGCGATCTGTTTTATTGGAGAAGGTTTAAGGAAAATGTTCGAAGGTAAGTGTAATACGTAAGTCGATTAAGCAATATTTTCAATTAGTATTTTATAATATTTTATTATATTATACAGTATTAAAAACTATAAAAAAATTTAAACTAGTAATTTAATTATTATACAGTCCTACTCCCCGCGGTGTCGTGCCAAGAACGCTGGCTGCGTTTCCCCGCTGAATGGCTATACTTAGCCTTTGAGCGAGAAAAGAACCAGGCCTCTTATCACCAGCAGCAACGACCAGACGCGAATGGAATTCCTTAGGAATTTCACCGCACGTGGACCCTACGGATCGATAGTCTCTACAGAAAATGGCACAAATATGTAGTCATCTCTCAGAGACTCATATTTGCGCCACTTACTCAGTTCAGCTGTCTCTGATGCCGCCCCGGCTCTAAACGAGGTACTCCTGAGATGAGAGGCCGCCAATGTGTCTACGCAAGTAGAATCCCACACTAGGGCTTTACCTCTTTCCCAAGGGACCAATTTCATAACGTTGGGTCTCTTGCCATCGTCTCTAAATATTCCACAAGGCTCTAAAACCGAGTGAACATTTATAGAGACAAGACCCCTTCGGATGACATCCTTCAGAGAACCGTGCCGTGAAAACCTACCAGCATTTTTCTTACATGAAAGTCCATGGAGCCCAAACTTGTCGACGCTGCTACCACAGGAGCACTGATGAGGTTGACAAAACTTGCGCATCGCCGTCGGATTCCTACGGCGATGCACAAGCTTTCCCCATCAAGTAATGTGCTGAGATTACTTGATGGTAAAGCGTGTAACCAGTGACTAAGATTCCTTGGTCGAAACAGCTAGAAGGCGTGCCTTATCTTGGTCACTATGAAAATTATGAAACAAATCTTTCTGCACGTTCTGTACCAACGGAATATCCTATTATTTTTGTTGGTTAACTCCCAGTGGAACATTTTCGCCGGGACAGAGCGTTTGCCATGTCTGCCCTGCCTCCGCAGCAGAGTACAGGTCTACTTTATTATTTAAAATGATGTTACATAAATCACTAACACTATGCACGGAAGCAAGGAAAGCAGGTAATTTAACGCTAGAAAGATTTCTCACACCAATACCACCGAATTTTTATAGGTAAAGTAGCTTGAGTCCAGGCTGTTGTATTTAAAGTTAAATTTAGAATATTTTCTATAGCTATTTTAAGATTATTATCAATATCTTTTAAAATATCCGAACATTTCCAGAGTCGACTCGAGCGGAGTAAGTATGTAAATCTAGGTACAAGAAGACAATATTTAGAAATTGTAAGAGCAATTTGGGGGTTTAATTTATGCAATTTATCAACGTTTTTAAAACAGGTTTAATACTATCGAAAGATAATATAAAATATTGTATATTATGTTATGTAAATCAATTTTAAACAAATTAGTATTTACCCAGTGTCTTTTTTAGGTAATATGCCATGGATAATAATATTAATATATTTACTTTCCCATTTGGAAGTTATTTATTTTTAATGGATCCGATTTAGATTGAAAGGATATCTGCATATATGTGTTCTTACGTAACTTAAGTATCACATAATATTTCGAAACGCCAAATAAATTTTATTTTACCCGTAATCGTATAATGAACTTGACTGAATAATCAAACCCCGCCTTATTTTTAATCAACCGGTTATGTAGTTTTAAATAAAAAATTGAATTTACAGCTAGTCACCAAATGGGAAGTTGATATTGAAAACGAATTTCACCTACACTTCCTTTTTTATTTATATTCCAGGATCTCATTTTGTCACCGTAGTGACTTATTATCCTTCATTTGAAGATGATTCTTTCCAAGCAGTACTTTTTAGAATTTATAACACCATCGTACTATTTTTGATGATGATGACAATGATAGTATCAGTTGATACTTTTACTATGGTTAATCTTATAATGTTTAAATATAAGATAATTACATTACGACAATATTTTGAAAAACTAAACGACGACTTTGATAAGCTTAATGAAACTGGCGACACGAGATTAGCTGCAGACACATTAAAAAATGGTTTAATTGAAGGTTTTAAAATGCACGTGGAGTTAATAAGGTAAGAATTTTTTTTTATATAAATTATATGTGTTTTTTAAATTTATGACGTATTCATCATCATCATCATTACAGCCCTTCACAAGTCCACTGCTGAACATAGGCCTCCCCCAAGGAATGCCACAAAATTATTATTACATCTTATTAATTGTTTCTCAGTCAAACAATTTTCAGAGTCAGGAAGTTGGTGGTGTTTCACCCTAGTGCCTCGAAAAGCTCGTAAAGCCGTTGGTGTCCGGACTATAAGAGCTAAGGAATAGACTGTGCACCTGAGCACACATACATAATATCTTACACAGTTAAGGCCTTTTACAGCACATACTAGAATCAATTTGTGTAATGAAAAACTAAGTAAATCGTGCATAGATCACATTTACGCTTGATCCCGCACATAAGACCTATAACACTGTAGCAATCAAAACGACACTAGCCGATCATCGGACTAACTTGTCTTGGAGTATGTACACAGGCTGTCTCAAAATATAAAACTTGCCTTAATATCCAAAAATTATTTACATTATTAGAAAAAAAAACGTGCAATATGACATGCCCAATTAATATATAAAATTCTTTAAACAAAAACTTCATGGAGTGCTATAGAAATTTGTTTTACACAGTATAATTAAACCAAATAATGTAAGAAATAATAACAACTGGATAAATAAGAAAATTATTAGAGCATGTGAGGATAGGGACGAATTATTTTTAAAAAGAATAAGAACAATTATAATTCAATAATATATTGTACAACCAGTGCGTGTTGCCAGTGATGACTTACGGATCTGAGACGTGGTCCTTCACTGCTGGCCGTATGAGGAAGCTCAAGGTCGCTCAGCGAGCTATGGAGAGGGCTATGCTCGGAGTTTCTCTGCGTGATAAACTTAGAAATGAGTATATCCGTAGTAGAACCAGAGTAACCGACATAACCCAACGGATTAGTAAGCTGAAGTGGCAGTGGGCCGGCCATATAGCTCGAAGAACCGACAACCGATGGGGAAGAAAGGTTCTTGAATGGCAGCCTCGTACCGGTAGGCGAAGTGTAGGGCGACCCCCCACGAGATGGAGTCACGACCTCGTAAGACATGCAGGAAGTCAATGGATGCAGGTGGCTCAGGACCGTGCTTTGTGGCATTCTTTGGGGGAGGCCTATGTTCAGCAGTGGACTTATGAAAGGCTGTAATGATAATGATGATGATGATGATAATTCAATAATTAAGCTACAATATAATATGGCTAGAATCTACGCAAATAAGTCAATTAACAAAAAAGAAATACGAAATCGGATATTATTTCAAATAAACACAATTCTAAAAATATTTGGAAGATTTTAAATAGGCTGACGGGTTAGATTTGAGGACTTACAATTGATAATACACTTAATCATTATTTCGATGGTAATGGCCGCACTAGCAAAGAAATTGCGAACAAATTTGCTAGTACATTCAATAATAGTGTAAAACAATTCCGAAATGTTCGGAATTATTGCTTGACAAAGCAATCTATTAATCTTCGGCGGATGTAATCATAGGATTTATGTCTGCTGATCATAAATCTGTGGAAAAAACAATTTAAATCAATAAGCAGTAACAAAGCCCCAGGCAGTGACAATGAAACAACAGAGTTCAGATGACAACTGTTTTATTAATAATGGCGGTTTCCTAATATACAATATTATTTTAAGACTACCCACAACACCCTCCCCTTAAAGAATAAGTTTTTAACAAAAGTGATTTTTTTAAATAATATTACCAAGAAATACATGAATAAAAAACTTACTTTAGCACATTTTTTTACCATAACCTTAACCTTTTTTTGTGTTACAAAGGATTAATTAAACCGGTTATTTTTTGTTTTCATTTACTTTATTTCGAGTGAGAGGTGGAGAATAATTTTCATTATAACTTCAATATTTAACATTGTTGGTTCATATTCATCGTTCGAAAAATATTCCTCATTTTCACTACTCGTAAAAGTCGTTTTTGTTGTCATTGAATTATGTTCTTTATTCTCATTTACTGTTTGTGCTGACGTTCTATTTTCTTGTGTTTTATCTTTTATTAGATGTCTGTGATTGCGGCGATACACCATTCCTCTTTTAGTTTTAGTAAAATATGAGCGGGGAGTCGCCGCTTTTGCAACGATATAACCTGAAATTTTAGAATTTTTGTTTTCTATCATAGTCACCTTATCGCCGACATCTAATACAGGTAAAGGCTTGGCACGTAAATCATAATACATTTTGTATTTATTTTGTTTATCTAGCATAACTTTGTGTTGTCTCTCATGATTTACATGTCCTATTTTCAAAAGGTCTGGGTGCACAGGTAGCCTGCATTTTAACCTACGACCCATCAGCAGCTATGCGGGAGAATTCAAATTATCGCGAGGCGTATTTCGATAACTTAGCAAATTTAAATAAAAGTCACTTCCACTATCTATGGATTTTTTTAATATCTTTTTTATTGTTTGCCCGGCCCTTTCACTCTTACCATTCGATTGTGCGTATTTGGGTGATGACGTTATGTGTTCAAATCCCCACTCCACCGCAAAGTTTTTAAGTTCCCGAATTGAAAATTGTGGACCATTATCGCTTATTACAATGTCTGGTATCCCATATCTAGCAAAATTTTCTCTCAGTACGTTTATGACGCTTTTAGAAGTAGTTTCATGTAACAACACTACTTCCGTAAAACATGAATAATAGTCCACAATAATCAGATATGATTTTTTACCATACTGAAATATGTCCGTCCCGATTTTACTCCATGGTAAATTTGTAATAGAAACAGCGATCATCGGTTCCTTACTCGAGTTATTTGAATTCTCTCGACACACTACACACTTATTTACAAATCTCTCTATATCATAAGAAATCCCTGGCCAGAATAGCACTTCACGAGCGCGCCGTTTACAGCGGTCTATCCCTAAATGTCCATCATGTATAATTTTTAATATTTCGGTTCTTAAGGAACTGGGAATTAATATTTGTTTATTTTTAAATATAACGCCATCTACACAAAATAAATCTCCTCTCCTATGAGGAGAGGAGAAATCCTAATAATATTTTAAGTTATCTTCAATATCTCGTTTATATTCCGGCCAAACCTGATTTATATATCTCATTAAAAGTTTTAAGTTATTATCTTTCAAAGTCTCATTTTTGATTACACTTAATTTTTTATGTGAAACGGGCATGTTAGAAACTACCATATGTACTTGACAAAATACATTATCACTCACTTTATCATTATATAGTTCTGGAATAGAGGCACGTGATAATGTATCGGCTAAGTACATATATTTTCCAGGTTTATATGTAACTATCAAATCATAACATTGTGATCGTAAAATCATTCGCTGTAAGCGTGCTGGTATTGAATCTAAGGGCTTTTTAAAAATGCTTTCTAACGGTTTATGATCTGTTTCAATTAAAACATCACTTTTACCGTAATTATATTGGTGGAACTTTTCACACGCAAAGAGAATAGTTTCATCCCGTTTTTGTTAAATATATGACCCAAGTAAGTAACTTCCTCAACGCATATACGACATTTATCTTTATTAAATTTTAAATTAATTTCACGAGCCCTATTTAATAATGCATTTAAACACCTATAATGTTCGTCTTTCGTCCCCAGCATATTATATCGTCTATAATAGAATCTACTCCATCTAAATCCTCTATTAATTGCTTAGTCTTAGCACGAAACACCTCTGCAGCGCAGTTTAAACCATAAGGTAATCTTAAATACTGATAGCGCCCAAACGGTGTACCAAAAGGTGCATAAGTCTGAACTCAGATCATCAAGTTTTATTGCCCAAAAACCTGAATTTGCCTCTAGTACTGAAAAAAAAACTAGCTCCGTGAATTTCAGTGGCAAGTTCCTTGATGGTTGGCAGTTGGAAATATGCACGCTGTATAGCATTATTGAGAGGTCTCGGGTCTAAGCAAATTCGCAGTGTTCCATTCTTTTTTTCTGCAATTACTATTGAATTAACCCATTGTGTTGGGTGAGTGACCTTTCTAATGACTCCTAAGTCAGTCATCCTGTTTAATTCTTCTAATAATTTATCATGTAATCCTAGAGGTACTTTTCGCGGAGCACAAACCACAGGTTTAACTGATTTATCAATAACTATATGGTATTCACCAGGTAAGCATCCTAAGCCTTCAAAAAGTTCCGAATTTTCTACCAAATTAATGCCGTAAACTCGTTGAATTAATCCTAGTTCCGAACACGCTTCTCGACCCTGCACACTTTCACAATTAATATTTGCTATTGCAAATTTTAAAACATATATTTTACTTTTATGCCACCATTTAAGATGACAAACTCCTCTTATCAGAATAACATCCCCGCTAAACTACTGTAATTTCATTTTATTATTATTGCATATCATTTCCGTGTCAAATCCCAGCGTTAAAATCTCTTATAACATAACACATTAATGTCGGCACCGGTGTCCAGCTTAAAACGTTCAAAGCCACACTCACCTCTTAATACCTCATACTAGTCATCGCCGCCGATTTTGTTCTGCGTTTTATCCATTAACACAGATACATAAAACGACTCACAATCATCATTATCAGATTTTTCTGTATTTACTTCTATTTCATACATTTTTTAACACTATTTTTACATTTGCACATCCTAGCTTAATGGCCGTAGTTACCGCACGCATAGCATTTCACCGAAATAGCTGGACATGAACCTACATCAGTACACTGAGCACCACAACGTGGACAAGGTGACGCCGCGTTCCCGGCGTGCGCAAATCGTGCGCCGCGTCGGCCGCCGCGCCCGCCGCTGCGCCCGCCGCCGCGCACCGCTAGCGCCTCAACGCGCACGGGCCCGCAGCTCGCCGAACTGCCGAAGCTACCTGTTTCCATCACACGCTTGCTATCTGTTGACATTTCATCCGCTTGACATATTTTAATTGCTTTCTCCAGAGTCCCTAACGACCGGTCCCTTACAATTGTGCTCCTTATGCCGCACACAATACGGTCGCGAATCAACTCTTGCTCCAAATTTTTAAATTCACAATTTTTACTGAATAACTTTAACGCTGATACATATTGATCAATAGATTCTCCAGTTTCTTGATACCTCGTAAAAAAGTTATATATCAGTAATGTTATATTAGATTGAACACTGAAATACTCGTCAAATTTTTTCATCAATATTTCAATGGCCTCACACTGCTCTTCTGAATCGAATGTAAAAGTCTCATAAACATCAAATCCATCTGATCCAATCAGATTAATAAGCAAACTCGCCTGTATGCTTCCCTCTTCTATGTGCACCCCCGATGCCTTAAGAAAAAGATTGAATTGTTCCTTCCATCTCTTCGATGCGTCAGCCCGACTATTTAGGTATTTTAACCGCTGCCACCATGTAGTGGCAATGAAACAACAGAGTTCAGATGACAACTGTTTTATTAATAATGGCGGTTTCCTAATATACAATATTATTTTAAGACTACCCACAACAGTCAAGATAAGAGCCATTGACATAATGTTGCTGTACGGGAAAATCAAAACTGTTATTGCTGAGTTAATAAATACAAGCGTTATCACAGGTAAATATCTTCGCATACAAAAAAAAATGGATTCTTTCGACCAATACATAAAAAAGATTGTAGGACTAAGTATGAGAATAAGGGACGAATAACGATATTACCTACCATAGACAAAATAGTCGAAAAATATATAAGCGGACAAATCCAAATTCAATAACATATTAACTAGCAACCAATTTGGTTTCCAATCTTAAAAGAATACCTCACAACTACTTTCTGCATTCACAGATAGCTTGTACACGCATATTGACAGTAAATAGCACGTTTTAGTTTATTGATTACAGTAAGGCCTTTGACACGCTTAGACACAAAAAATTACTTCAAAGTTTAAATAATAGTGGAGATAGAAGAAAATTACTAGCGTGGTGTGAAAATTATCTCATATCATCAAAAATTTGATCATATCGGGTGAAAGTTGGTGATGCTTTAAGTTTTCATGTCCAAGTAACGGAAGACACAGCACAGGGCTCAGTTCTTGGGCCTCTACACTTTCTCACCTACGTAAACAGTCTTTATAATATAATTAAACAGTATGAGATCTATCAGTTTGCAGATGATACCTGTTTAGTAACTGCTGAACTTAGTATAAAGGAGGTCCTAATGAAACTTCAAAAAGAGTTTGACATACCGACGAAGTGATCACACGACGTCGGCTTAGCACTTAATGCGGCCAAAATTAAACTTAGATATGTATATAAGCACAAATCACAACAGAAGTTCTTTTATAACTAAATTAATAGCGCACACTCATCACTGCCTTCATATAAAAATAGAAACGATTCAACTACCTGTAATTGCAATGCGAAAATTACTTTACCGAAAATATTAAAAAGGTGGATAAGGTATTATACTCCGCTCACAGAATTGATAATCTAAAACTACAATTATCTAAATATAACAACTTATACGGAAAAAGAACTTTAAACTATGTTATACCTAATCTAATCAACTACGTACCTAAGTCTTTGAAAGACGTCATTACACGTAAAAATATAAAATATAAGCTAAATTTTTTTTATTTACAATTCACTCTTACTAAATACTCGCAACATTTAAAACAATTTCTCGTTCTACGTTACTGCTTTACTTTACCTACATATTATTTTAGTATAATAAATTTAAAATATAGGTTATAATCATTCTGTATCATGATTATTCACGAAATGTAATAAGTTTCATTATGTGATGTTACGCTCATCGCCTGCAACTATTTTATATATATATTGAAAACTATTGGTAAATAATATTAAATGTAACTTCTGTAATGTAATGTAATGTGTAGATTAGAACAATGTGTACATACTGCCGACAGCAATGGTGCACGGAAAAACTCAAATGAGTTTATCCACCAAAACTATTTGTCTTTGTAATCATATTTCTTGAGTAAATAAAAAAAATGGTCGGTGATAAAACTCTTGTATAATCTTTTGCTTTTATTTTAGATTAAAAGCCCATATAATCCTCATAGAAAGAGTCAAAAACGTTTATGTTTTTGATTATAATGCAGAGATCGACTGCCTTATAATTAGTTACACAAATTAACTAAAATGTATTATTAGTTACGTGTTTTATGTAGTACGTTTGTAATTTATCTTTTTTATAGAATTAAGGGTGACAAATGAACACCCAGTTCATTTAATGGCAAGTTGCTACTGTGGTTCCTAGACGTCTACTAAGTACTAAGAGTCAAAACGCAGATACGTTATCACACCTGCGGACGTAGATGGAATGCTTCGTCTATTTTCTCTTATTGCCAAGCTCACCAGTTGTTGATTGACGGAAGTAGTGCTAGCGATGGACTCCTGGTGGTAATTCCATATATAAACCCTGAACACAATTTTAAGATGTAATAGGGAGCAGTATTGCCTATTAATGCAAGGGTATCGGATTTGCACTCACTAATCCGCCTGCCCAGTATGGTGACTTTAGGCAAGTCTGTCATGTAATGCCGGCCAAGTTGTCGTATTTTTTGAGAGGTAGGTACGAGTACAGCAGTAGATTTAATAAAAATGTTGATGCTGAGTTGATATCATAATGTTTTTATTTGTTGGTTATCTTTAATTAGTGACGTTGGTTAGTAAACATTTTAACCAATTAAATAAATTTTTAATATGTTCATTATTGAGTACATTTAACGATTTTATTTCCAGAATTTTAAAGGTTATTGACGAAGCATTTGGGATTGTGATGGCATTACAACTATGTCAAAGTTCCGGTTCAGCTGTAGCGCTGCTACTCCAGATCGCAGTAATTATTACATTTTCAATTAAAATTAATCGTAAAATTTGTAAGAATGTCTACTGCTCCATATCGTTCCCTGGGTGTTATAAGAGGCGACAGAGGGAAATTGAAACAGGAGAGGGTAGCAGCTTCTTCGTAATAACTACTTAAAATGCCTGCCAAGCGTAGTATCTATGGCAAATATCCTCGGCGAGGCCTATGTTCAGCAGTGAACATTTGTTCGCTATAAAAGTAAAAGTTTTATAATAACATTTTTGTTACTAAATTTGATTGTTTTGTAACGGTTAAAATGATGAAAAAATAAATGTGCAGTTTTTTCCCATCTTCTATAGTTAAAGGAGATTGAAACGGCAATGAACTTAAAAAGGTGTTTCATAACTTGAAACTCTAATTTCTTCATCATCATAGTCACCACAGGTCTTCACTAGTCCAATGCTAGACATAAGCTTCCCCAATGGAATGCCACAAATCACGTTCCTGAGACATATGCATTATTAATTTTATTAATTATTTCATGTCTTACGCCGCGGTAATTAAGATATTTTAATTAATGTTCATAAGCAGTTTTATATAGGCTGCTGTTTGCTTGTTTCTATGCTCTGTGTGCTCTCTAATAGGCAATGAAATATTTATGAAAAATGCAAAATAGGACAAAAATACAACTTCTATTTGCAACACCGTGCTCATCGATTAATTGTTTTATTTTTACAGCTCTCCGAAAAATTAACGTTTGTAGCAAACTTAAAAATAATTTTCTTCGTTTTTGCCCTGTTTTTCTTGTTAGGACTTTTCCTATGCAACGCGGGAGAAATAACATATCAGGTAAAGCATCTATCACAACTAATGGTCACCTAGTGGTCGAAATTAGACCGTATTTCATTATGTTTTTAAGTTTGTATGTATATTGAAACAAGCTGTTTTTCACTTTCAACTCTCAGTATATATATTGAATAGGTCTTTTGCCTATGAAATTGCCGCTCTGCAGTACTGGCCATTTAAAATGAAAATAATTATTTGTTCGGCTAAGAATTCTAATTTCAAATTAATTTTATTTTAAAACTATGGAATTATTTTTCAAAATTAGTCATTTGTTTATTGATAAGCGTTATGTTTTTATCGCATTTGAATATTTTTCGTCATTATGGATACGTTAAAATTTCGAGTAATTATGGAATAATATGAGTGCCGCTTGTGCCGCGTTGCTGCCACGACGGTACTCATATTATTCCATAATTACTCGAAATTTTAAAGTATCCATAATGACGAAAAATATTCAAATGCGATAAAAACATAACGCTTATCAAACATCAACGACATTTACGGACTGAATAGAAACGAACGCAGCACCTGTTATTGGTTTGAACACTTCCGTTCTGGAAATTTCGACCTTAAAAATGAAACCCATGGTAGTCTGAAAACTTTGGTCGACAATGACGAATTAAAGGCGATTGTGGAAGCTGATGATAATCAATCTACGGCTGAATCAGCAGCAGCTTTTGACGTTAGTATCAAAATAACATCGGTCTTTTTGCATCAAATTAGCAAGGTAAAAAAGCTTAACAAATGGGTGCCTCACGAACTCAATGTTCGCCAGCGGGAAGAACGAGTCGAGACGTGCCTTGTACTGCTCAACAGGCACACAAATGAAGGAATTTTGAACCGTATTACCTGCGACAAAAAATGGATTCCGTTTGACAATCGCAAGCGCTCAGCAAATTGTTTGGATCCTGAATTACCACAGAAACAATGCCCTAAACGAAAACTTACCCCTAGAAAAGTGATGATCACTGTTTGGTGGTCGGTCTAGCGCCGGTGTGATTCATCACAGCTTCTTACCAAATGGGATGAGCATTAATGCAGATGTGGGCTGTGAAGAACTGAACGTACGAGACGTACGAGTTTCTCCATCATTGTGATGGAGAAACTCGTACGTCTATACATATGCTGTTCATGCACGACAACGCGCGACCTCTACTGCACAACAGGCGATCTCTTAGTTACAAGAGCTGGGGTTGGAACCTCTCCGTATCCGCCGTACTCACCAGACCTTGCGCCGACTGACTTCTACTTTTTCAAGGATTTTGATAAATTTATGTCGGGAAAAAATTCAATACCCGAGAGGCAATACAAAATGCCTTTGCAGAATTTGTTGCCTCCTATCCAGTTTATTTCCTTAAGAAGGGCATCAATAAACTATCACTGCGTTGGCAAAGATTCACCGATTGAATGGGTGGTTACTTTGATTAATAGAAATAAAAATATAGAAAAAAAATTACGTTAACTTATTTCATAAAAAATGGCAATTTCAAAGGTAAAGATCTAATATTACCTCAACTGTCAACTGGATATTAATATACAAAATATAAAAAGTTTTTTTGTCGTGACACACGGTGTGTACAGTATGCTGTAGACCATATTCTATTATTTTTTGTTGTGTTTGACAATTGGCCCTCGCAATATAAGCGTAAAAAATGAAATGTTTCATTTAATTTTATTAAACAGTATATGTAAAACACATACATATAAATATATACATTTTTTATGTATTCTTTTTTAAAAACAATACCCCCACACTAGGATTTTCCCCTGTATCGTGGAGGCAGCTTACAAACACAAATTGCACAAGGACAAATATCCAGACTCGGAACAATTATTTGTAGGACATACAAATACTTGTTCCGTGCTGGATTCGAACCCGCGGCCTCCAGCGCAGCAACTCATTGCTAAGCCACTGCGCCACGGAGCCGTCAAATGCCGTCAAATATATATATATATATATATATATACATATAAATATTCGCTTTCTGCATTGTTTTTCCATATAACTGTGCTAAATCTCACACCTCCGTGCACCCAATATGCTTAAAAAGGGGTACAAACTTTTCTTTTCACGTATTAATATATAGATAAAACATACCTACTATATTAGAGTAATAACATATAGTAAGTACAAGTAATACTGCTGGCCATAAGCAAAAAGTCAGCCGCGCTGCTCCAGTGCGTGTTGATGGACTTCATGTCATTAATTCAGGTTTCCTCACGATGTTTTCCTTTGCGCAAAAGAGCACTTCAAATTACAATTTAATTGGTTCCGGTGGAGATCGACACTGGGTTTGTTAGCATACTTTAAAATTTACGGCCAAATTGTAATACAACTGGCATTGAAATAAGTAACGAAAAGTTTATATAATTTTGATTTCAGGCTACGCTGTTAGCGGATTCAATATTTTATTGCGGTTGGCACGCGTGTCCTGCGCAATATAAACCTGGTGGACAAAAGATAGGGCAACTTGTGTTACTGGCTTATACTCAAGCGCAGAAACCATTGGTTATGAAAGCTTTTAAAATGGTCGAGCTTACGTATAGCACCTTTTTATTGGTAAGGACTATTATTTTCTAGATGGTAGGTTTCTAACTAGAAGTTAGTTTGAGTAGTCACTACCCTGGCCCTGCGGTCGAACAGCAATAGTACGAGCACAACTAACTGTGTTCCGTTCTAAAGGGTATTGAGAGCAAATGCCTACAGAGGGAAACAAACCGCAGGGATTGAAGCGTCTTCTTAATAACAAATAAAAACTGCGGTTGCCAATTCACCTGTGCAGCTTGTCAACTATGGCAAATATCCCTCTATGAGGTAATCTACGGGGAGGCCTATGATTAGCAGTGATATTTTAATGGGCAGAAACGATAGCGGTAATTGTACATTGTACGTGAGCCATGTTGCAGTTATATTGGTGGTATAGTTGTAGTACGAATGGGTCGGCTCGACCAGGGAAGGACCACGCTCTCACAAAATACCAGCGTAAAATAGCAGCTTAACACTGCTGTGTTTCTTTTGGTGAGTGTAGAGAACCGGAGACCCTTTTTACTGGAAAAGACGCATTCCATCTTAGTCCTCACGGATGACAACGCATCTGCATTTTGATTCGCAAACGAGGATAAATGCAGATGTCTATGGGCCACAGCAACCACTTACCATCAGGTAGACTGTGTGCTCGTTTGTCACCCTATCCTATAAAAAAAAACGATAGCGATAATTACGGGCTGTGAGGCATTCCATTTTAGTCCTCAGAGGTGACAACGCAACTATCTTCATTCCTTAAAGTTGGTTATATGTGTCCATCGGCCAGATAGTCTCTTACCATCAGGTGAACTGTAAGTTCGTTTGTTTGAAAGGCATACAACACTTTAGTTTAAAAAAGTGCTTGGAAGTAGAGGCATTGTAAGAGAATACGTCTCCCCATTTTGCTCATTAGGGTCTTAAAAGGCGACTTATGGAATTTCCAAAAAGATTTTAAGGTTACTTATTGTCTCATGACAGCAGTATAGCTATCCTGTTTACACCAGATATTAAATACTCAGCTCAGCGGCGGAGAGTAGCGTTAAATTTGCAAGATGACGGTGATTCATCCTGCAAAACGATGATTAAGACAAATCATTTATATAGGTACAACAGGGGAGACCCATCCATAAAGAAAAGTCATGACTTTTAGCTGTGTGTGATAAGTACTACTATAATGTGAATATTTAATCTTTACTAACTAGTCTTTGAAACAAGATAAAACAGCATAAACTCCTTATAAAAACTAAAAGAAAAATAAAGGCATAAGAGGTATATTTATGTAATTACCCACTAGCTTTTTTCTGAGGTTTCGCTTACCAGGGAATTCCCCAGGCAAGGTGTGGAAGATCGAAGGGGTTTTCGCCAATTTATGACACAAATAAAGATATCCTATGTTCCTTTCAACCACACAATCTGCTTCTCTCTTAAATCCATTCATTTGAATTTTTTAGGGGCCCTTCCTCGGGTCCGTTAATTAATTTTACGGAGTTAGATAAATGTGTTGTGGCAGCCTTAGCGAATTTGTCAACCCTTCTTGCCTCGTGGCTATAGTAAAAGTTATTTTAATAGAATAAAGGTGACAAACGTGCATACAATCACGATGTACATTCTGTAAATGCTAGAAACAAGCACAAGTTAGTTATACCAGTTACAGATTCAGATTCGGTCATTCCTTCATGAGGCAATGTATACGCTTTTACAACAAAGTCCCAGAAAATATGCAGGACTTATGAAAAAGTTTATTAAGCAAACATTGTCTAGTAAGAGTTTTTATACTACTAAAGAGTCCATGATTGATGATAACCCCTGGGAATAAGGTGATCGCTACCATGCTATTTCTAAATGTTTTTATACTAATTGTATAAAATACTACATCGGTTACTTCTTGATTCATCCCAGGACAGTGGGTTTTTCCGAACCAGTAGTACCGCTTAAACAACCTGATAGAAAAAAATTCTTGTAACCTATATTGAATAAAAATCATTCTGTTGTATTCCATTCTATAATGCGGCATGCCAGTTTATTGTTGGACAGTAGCGCATGAGCAGTTACTTAATCTGAATCAGTACCAGTACCAGTACCAGGATTAGCAGTTTGATGAATATTTGTACAGTAAAAATTTAGATGAACTAAGAATAATTAGGATGCCAGTAAAATAACACGTTTAATATAAATACAGATAAATGCTCAAGGTAAGGGCAGTAAGGGGCAGCTGCACCTAAATAACTGGCGTTGATATAACTAGTAGTAAATATATTCGTCCTGCTGCATTAGTCACTTTCTCACATAAGACCCGAAAGGAATTACGTTCGGATTTTACTGTACGCCAAAAATTATCGAACAGCTCAATCATCCATTGTACAAGCAATCAACCAAAGTCAATAATATCCCCAGCAAAATTTTACCACAAAGATTAGTTTAATCACTGACAGAATAGTTTATTACTTCTTGTAATATTTACTATCAGCTAAATGTGGCCACTCCATTGTTTTAATATTGCTTTATGCTTAATTAAAAGCGTTTACAAAAGTTATACTTTATAGTTGTAAGTTAGTAAGGTCTAAAATGAAATGATAAAGTTAGAAAGGAATATTTCCTCCACTCCATCCATTATTGTACTTCTGTTGTAATTGTAACATAATAGTCCTACTGAACTTTTTCACGTTTCATGTCTGCCCATTGACATCACAATTATTATTATTATCCTTTTAATGAATCACACCATATTCTTTTGTAAACATAGGCCCCCTACATAATTTCCCACAAACACGATTTTCTTTTCTTTTCTTTAAAAGCTTTTGATCCTAATTCCTAGGGTATTTATAATCAAGATGTAACTTTAAGGTAAATATTGTCAATTTTCAAAGTTTTCTTTCAATATATTTTTATTTTTGTTCGCGTATTTGCCTCCAAAGTGCTCTTCTACCGCCGCGGCGCCGCATCCAACTGATATTTGTTCTTAATTCTTTACTGTTTCTTTTTTACCTATTAAACACAAGGAAGTCGTTTGATATATTGTATCATATAATATTTGCCGAGAACAAATTGTTCGACGAGGTAAGTTCAACTTTGATCGAGAGGTCAAAAAATCGAGGTTCATGATATTACGACATAACATCTCCACGTCACGGATACTTAAACTAGAGTGTACAAACAGTGTGTATTATCTGTGTTGTCATATGGCTCTCAGACGTGGTTCTTCACTCCTAGCCGTATAAGGAATCTCAAGGTCAGCGATTTATGTAGAGAGCTATGTTTGGGGTTTCTCTGCATGGCGGACTTCGTAATGAGGATATCCGTAGCAGAATCAGAATAACTGGCATAGCTCAACGGACCAGTAAGCTGTAGTGGCGATGGGCCGGCCATATATATAGCTTGAAGAACCAACAAGTGATGGAGAAGAAAGTTTCTCAAGTGGCAGCAAAGGTGGACCACAATAGGGTTTAAGTCATTGCGTTAGTCCCACATGAGCCATGAGGTAGATGAGCAATGTTAGACCGCTACTTAGACCGCACTAACATTATTATATTATATAACATAATTAATATTAATACATTTTCAATTTTTGTTATTATAATTGTTTCAAATATCGAGTACTTACTCATTTTTATACTTTTTGCAGGTTATAAAGGGAACATATTCAGTGTTTGCCTTAATTTATGCACAAAGTAGTGAATGAAAGTTCAAATTATGATACAGGAAAACTTGATTTTAAGTCCTTACTGATTAACAATTAATACCAGTAATAATGTATGTATTTCTAACATAACAGTGAATAAAGTTATTGATTTATTGTCTTGTATCATATAAAGTTAACAGGTTCTTTATTTTGTAAGTGTATGTTTTGAATACCTTATATCCGATTACGACAAATTTTTGGTGAATTATTGTGTATCCTCCACGCACCCGTGGAGGATTCTAAAAAGGAAATAAAAAAGTAAAAATTACTATTCTGTTCGATCGTGATCCTTTCCCGAGCGATGCCGATCCTTTAATGTTGCAGTCATAATACACTGCGGTATAGCTATTAATTTTACTTCTTCTTCATGAGCCCGTTAAAGCTCACTGCTGAACGTGAGTTTTTTTCCATTGTGAGGAGGATTCTCCGAAATCGCCGCAATTGGTATGCGGATTGACTATCGCAGTGCCAGATAATTCGCACCTTTGAGGCTGCTTCCGGTTTCCGGCCTTCGCATTCTATTTCTGGCGTAAATGAGATAGTTATAATGCCATCGGATGTCACAAAATATTTCCGGCGAGAGGTAAAGTACGTATATACTATAATAAAACTCTATGGCCTCAGTAGGGAACTTCCGCAAAATGAACACACGCTGATGTTTTGCAGTGTCTTGAGTGACAGCCACTTGATTTGTATGGGAAAGGCGCCGTTACGCCGCTAACGTCCTCCTCTGAGGCCTTACGCTAGGCGCAATTTTAATCGAACTACTGTTTAGTGTTAACTACCCCCATATTATCCCGAAGGTATCGTAGAGGGGACAGAGAGAAACCAATCAGATGATGGACAGCAGCGTCTTTATAATAACGAATTAAAAATAAAAAAAACCTGCAGCTACCAACCTATTTGCAAAACGTGGTAACCTATGGAAAATATCCCCCCCCCCTTTCCCCCTATGAGGCAATCTATGGGGGAGGCCTAAGTTCAGTAGTGGACTTAAATAATGTAACGGTAACGGTGCTGTTTAGTTCTATGTGAAAATCCTATGAGATTTTACGCAGGTTTTCATATTATCAACTCATTAGTTGCACGACAGAAAAATCAAAAAATCATATCGATTACATTTTGATTAATCTGTTGAACAACTATCGATCAACAGTTCAATGTATGTTACCATACCATGTATTGGGAGGCGTATACACTCGACTAACCAGTCGATTTGCACTAGCGCCGTTGAAGCGTCATACCTTCGTCTTCTATTTTGTTTATTACGCATTATGTAAAGCAAAACCTTATGTTTTGAGCAAACCTTATGTTTGTTTGTAGCAAACCTATGAGTACCTAAATATATTTTTATAGTTTAATTGGTTAGATGTAATTATTAAGTAGAGAATAGAATCCTGAAAAATTAATGCCCGATAAAGAAAATCAGTAAATCGTAGAAAGAGGCTAAGAAAACTAATAAGCACCCATTGATCAATCAGTTTTATCGTCATGAAATTAACACAAGCATACAAATTAACTAAACAGTTTGATCGATTGAACAGTTGTATTTAATACGATAGGCCTTACTCTAAACGGTCGCTATTTAGGACACTGTAATACAAGTGCTTGTTTGTGTCTATCATGTACCCCAGACGCCTCGCTTCGTAATACGCTCGTCACAATGATTTTACGTTTAGAGAACTATTATATTATTATACCATTGAAACAGATACAAGAAAAAACAGTTTTTGGAAAATAGTGTCTGCCTGAATAAGCAAAAACCTGAAAACGAATTTAGTATGAAATTTAATTACGGTAAAAAGTAAAACAAACCAGCTTATATATGTCCCACTGCTGGGCATCTGATAGAATGACTTAAAGGAAACATCTGAAAATTATAATTCGATTTCCGCTATTGCTCTTACACCAAGAAAAAGAAATGCAGCAACACCACCTATATTATCAGAAAAAATATTAAAAGCTCCAAACGAAAACTCTGTTTTTAAATAAAAAAGTTGCTAGGTTGACAAAATTTCTTCAGAATGTGGATAAAAAATCTTTGGAGAAAAGAAAGAAAAACGGATAGGTTTTGAAAAAGTTAGCCTTGAAGAAAGAGAACTTATTACTGACGCGTCAAGAAAAAAATCTAAAAGTGGGAAGCTCTCACGAGCTAAGTATTTACCATAACTGCGATGTTTTGCTTTAACTTTCTTTACAAGAATTTCTTGTTTAATGAAATAAGCGAACCCACAAAAATATCTTCGTAATATAAACTTATGCAAAACTAATCGATTATAAAAACCAGTGATAGATAGGACTATCACTGGTTTTCACTTATACCGGGTGTTTGTGAAACGCTCCCGAAAACGAAGACAGGCGATAGTATTAACTATACATTTGATGACAGGTGAGAAATAAAATCGATCCTGAGGAAAAAAATCATCTTTTCTCAACGTTTTATTAGCTTTATTCACGCTCCACCATGTAAGTACAGCTAAATGAAACGATAATTTCATAAAAAAAAATCATGAAAATACTTAAAATAAAATCAGCTGACAATAGGGTCAATATTCTCGGGGACGCCGAACTCTTATGTAGCCCGGTGCGAAACCACAGAGTAAAGAGGACCAGAGGGGAAGCTTCCTAACAACGTCGAAAATCTATACCTATTCTGATAGGGTTGTCACCTGCTGCATGTGAAAATTATAATAAAAAATAAAAATATTGTATAGCATAAGACAACATGTGTATTAATTATAACTTATATTAATGTAACAACATATTTATTAATTGTTCGAAATCAAGAGTTTTGGTGTAAGTGGTGGTAGTGGTAGTTGTGGCTGTGATGGTGGTCGTGGGCAGTGGCGGTGGTGGTGATAGTAATGGTGGTGCTGTTGATGAAGCCACTGTTGGTCCACTGCCTACTACCACTACCTACGATATTACCACCTCCACCACCACTGACACCATCAGCAAGACTATCCACCAACACCAGCACCACTTCCACCAACACTATCCACCAACACCAGCACCACTTCCACCAACACTATCCACCAACACCAGCACCACTTCCACCAAGACCAATCCCACCACCCCACCAATGTCTAGCGATTGTATTCCAACCATAATGCAGTGGTATTTACCCCTGCGGTCGCGACTCGCATAAAGTAACTTATATCCTACCACAGCAAGCAACCTACCTCTATACTCTAGTCAAGTTAAAGTTACGCTTTTTAAAGCTTATTGCCAGTCCTTTTACACGTGCAGTCTGTGGAAAGACTATACGCACTACGCAGAGGGCATACAGCGACCTGCGCATACAATATAATAACGCGGGTGCTGAGGGGTCTGTCGCGCTGCTGCAGCGTCTCCGCCATGTTCGCGGAAGTTCACACGGACGGATTCGCTGTAATCATGCGCAAGCGCTGTGCATCGCTACTTCGGCGCGTGCGCGGCAGCCCCAACAGCATCCTGCGTATGCTGGCTGACCGCCGGGACTCGCCGATGTTGGCTCGCTGGATACATGCTACCTTGTAGACTGGCTTATTGCCACCATCGGTGCAGTTTCATACTTGTGACGTCAACAATATGTTACTAACACCAGACATAAGAAAACATTTACTAACAACTATGGATATTCTTTTTGGCCGAAATAAATGAATTATTATTATTATTAGTATAATGTGGGTGGATAAAGTCACACATTTAGCCTTATTACGTAGGATATCCTGCCATCTATGGCACTTTCAAAGTTAGACTGACGTTTCAAGTAGGTGAGACCGACTTCATCACTCGGCGACGCACCTTTCTATCACATTTTCACTTACCTATCAATGTTATTACCTAGTATTATTGTGTATAATACGTAAATAGGTACTTACTTCACTTGATCTCTCGGTTACAAAAAAGGAAATATCCTTATTTTCTCTAGAACTATTCATGCATACTGTACAACTATTAGGCATTTTTGCTTCTACTGAAAACTTATTATTTACCTATATAAATTTATAATAACTTAATTCTTAATTATTCTTATTAAAATACTTTAATCTAATTATTTAATAATTGCAAAAATACTTAATAAATTAATTGATGTATAAAATTTCGAAATATTGTTGGTCTATTTATTTAAATGCACACGACTAACAGCCCTTTCATGGATACTCTGACTGAGCCGGCGCAAACCGGTTTTTACCCCGACGGAGCGTCAGTGAACCTGTCGGTGAGCAGCGAGCCGTTTGTATGTAGCTTCCCCTCTGGTCGGTTTCTTTACTCATGTGGCGAAACTATGCCTACTCACTCTACCGTTCACTTTCACACACGCGCTACCGCCGCCCGGCCGGCTCGTGTCGCCTCGCGCTGTGGAATTTACACATGTCAGCTTTGCCAGCATGTGGAGAATTCCCAAAATTGCGGGGAATTTAAAGTTGGTTGGGGATTTTATGGGCATTGGTATTATGCGGCGAAAATACGGGTATTTTGAAAATCGATAGCCAGGGCCAAGTAGGAACCTTTTTTCAAGAAATTTAAATATTTATATTAACATTTTGTTAGGTAACTTATAATAATAGGAGAATATCGAATGACTCCTTTTTTAATTATCTTCACTGTACCACATTTAATTTTCGGATTTATTTCGGCAACTTTTGTGTATCATTTAATGCTTTTCATTTCGTTATTTTTTAATTTTAAAGAAAAAAAAATGTAAGTTAAAAAGTAAATCTTATAAAGTTAGTTGAAAATTGATTCATTTCTTAAAATAAAATTGCAGGGAATTTGTGGGGAATCTGTTGAAGTTTTGTCCTTAAATTGGGGCATTTGACATGAATTTTCGGGGAATTTGACAAATTGGTGTTGGCAACGCTGCCATGTTGCACCGAAATTTAGTTTTCCGGCGATATAAGAATAAGAGGCGGCGATCACTATAAAACTTGCAAGTAAGTTTTAATAATTTTAACGTACCTCTTTTTAAATTCAAAGTATTGGAAGGATTAAATACGGAAAGTCAATTAAAATAT